AACTGCTGGTGATTGTCGGGATAAGTCGGGTGGTTTATCCTTTATCAAAAGGGACATAATTGCACAACCTCTAGTGAAATCTTGTATTTCACTATTTATTTCTCCATTATGTTTTCCTTGAACCTTGGTTCGTTGAGATTATTTTGTTGGCTCATCTTTGGTTAGCAAGGTGTCAATGACACTCTCATATTTCTCTATTGAGGGTTTGAGCAGAGCGGTGTCAAAAACGGCTTGGTTTTGAATTTGATCTAAGAGCCTGCTTTGTCTAGATTTTGATCATACTCAGTCTTTGAAATCTTCTAAGGTACATGTACCTAAGTCAATACTCACAGACAAGAGCAGTTGCATTATACTTGAATTAAAAATTTTAAAACCAGCCTATTTGGGAATAGGGCTTACTTTGATATTATCCACGTCTTCAACAAGGTTTTGAACTTCACTTACTTGTGGATTATGGCAATGGGTATGCTCATGTTCTAGTTTTGTTGAACCGTCTCTCGTGGAACAGGCCTTTGCAATGTGTCCTTGTACCTTATACCGATAACCAGTTAGTTCATTTGATGTTTTTAGGGCAGAACACTTACCTTGATCATTTGCTTGCCGTCCACACATAGTTGTTGGATTCAGGTCTTGTTTAACCTTCTTCTCCCAAGCTACTTATTGCACCCCATGTGGCTTAAGTATGGCATTCGTAGATACCATTTTAGTATGGTGGGCATTCTGGTGCATTGAATTAGGACTTGAATTTGCTTCTTGTATCTAGCTTGATCATTTTGTGTGTGATACACTCTTTGAGCACTGGTTGTCTTGGGCTGGGGTTTTCCACAAACTCAGAATACATGAGTTTTTTCATGTCTTCCCAAGTGTAAGTTGGACCATTGTAGTCAAGCCAAATGCTTCTTCTGCATCCCAGTTTTTGAAAGCTTCTCCGATTAAAGTTTCTTCGGCATAGATTGGTTTATCTTTCTCTGGAATTTTCTGTGACTCGAACCAATCCTCTATGTTTTCTTCCCAGCTTAAGTAAGCTTAGGTCCTTGTTCATGACTAAAAAAAAAGATGAGTTGTAAATCAAATCGATCACAACCCTTACCATCATTGTTGACGGTTTGGTAGGTGTAATTGCATGGTTCTTGGTTCGATGGGTCTGGTTCCAAGGCTTCACACGTATACTCTTCCGCTAGATTGATTTCAGTCTCAATCTCTTCTTACCGTGAGAGATCTTCATCTTCAGAATCTTCATGGTTCCTTGTTAACTGTTCTGAGAGTCTGGATTCCATGGTTTCGTTTTCTTGGTCTCTTTCTTCATGTCCAAGGTATGGTTCCTCATATTCTGGCTCACCTTCTTCATGTTCTGGTTCTTCACCAAAACATGCTTCAGATTCAGCCTCCTCGTGCCAAGGCTTGTCTTCGTATTAAGTTGCCTATCCTAAGCTGATTTGAGACTCAATTTCTTTCTCCCATAAGTCTTCCTCTTCTTTGTACCACCTATTATAACTTAATTTATCTGTGGCATGGTCTGGTGGTTTAGGCTCAGGTTCTTCTTTGCCTGGTTGATGATCATAGTCCTATGCATTCTCAAACCATGTAGGTATCCTCCTCATCGTACATGCTCTGCTCGGAATCAATCTCTTAATCCCAAGTGTCCTCCTCAGCCATCGCGCTCCCTGATAACTTGAAAGTCTTTGCACTCAACAAAAACAACAAGCAAATCAAATATACCACAAAATATAAAGGAAAACAGTACTGATAAACACAACAACAAAATCTTTCTAGATTTTCGTCCTTCAGAGACAACTGAAACAACTAGCAAAATGAGACAGAACTAAGACACTAAGTAAATAGCAGCAATTTGTTTGGGTTTTCTGGTTTATATGAATGGATACAGCAGAGAAAGCAAACTTAAATAGAACTGAAACACAATTTTTATGGCTTTTAGGATTTAAGAGAATCGAAATAACAAATTCTAGGAACCTAGCAAACTGATCAGAAAGCAACACGATTTTATCAATTCCTTCTTTTTTTTTGATTTTTCGGTTTATGAGACAAACTAAGCAACAAAACAAAAACAAAAACGCAACAAAGATAATTTTTTATGGTTTTGGAGATTATATGAACTAAATAAATGAAACAGCAAGAAATTAAGCAAACATAATTGATTTTTATGGATTTTTCTTAAGAACGAAACTAAAACATAAAGCAAAACAGGAAAACTATTTGATATAATGATATAACCTGATGTAGGAGCGTTTTAAAGCTCTGATACCAGATGATATAAGATCGGATTTCACCTCTCTTATTCCACACTGTCCAAGAACAACATATTGAATGGATAATGAGTGAAGGTAGAGACGAGGGTGAAATGGTTGCTGATTGATTCCACAAACAGCACACGACCTAGATAACTTGATTCCACAAGCAATCTGAATCGAATGGATTGAAGGCACCACAGAGAGTGTGAGAGGATCTCTAATACTGCAAGCTTGTTCAGCTCTAGGTGAATCCACACGAAGAAAAACAATAAAGAAAACTCGACAAGGTTGTGCTTGGAGACAAAGAAAATACGGCGTTTTTATTAATCAGAAAAGGTTGAAGGTTTACACGGCTACAAAGAGACATTGTAAAGGGGTCCAATAAGCTAGCCCTAAGGCC